CCTGTTTGGATTTGGTGGATACCTGATGGATCTACAATTACAGAGGATTTCAGCTGCAATTTGGGTATTGATCAGGCAGCCGGAAGAGGTTGACGCCCTCACAAAGGCTGTGAACAAGCAGGACCAGGGGCTGAGCCGCATGCTGGGTGTGATTGAACACAGGCTGGCTGCGGTGGTTGAACGCAAAGGTGAGATGGGAAAATATCTTGGATGTGCAGGCCCGATTCAAGGCAGAAAAGCCCAAAACATTTGGAATATTGGATTTGCCATGTAGAGCCAGCATAAAAAGACTCAAGGCTGAAAATTCCTGTGCAGCTGCGTTCAAAACAATAAGTGTTACTCTGGATTTGACCCCCCCCCCTTTATCTAATCTTCCCTGGATGACACATTAGGACATCCCTAAAGAACTGTGGTTATCTCAGATAAAGAAGACAACAGAAGGAAGAAAACAGAAGGAAGATTGTGATTCCAAATGTTTCTGGACACAAAAAAGTGGTTCAGCCCAAAGACACCCAGAAACAAGACCAACAGTGTGGTTCACGCCGTTCAGTGTAGTGAAGAGAGCACAGCCCTGTAGATTAGACCAAGCAACCGTTGCACAAGCACATGGCTCAAAACAGGAGGGCGAACTCCTCAGGACAGGACTCAGCTGTTCACCTGTCACCTGTTGGGGCGACAGTGGCGTTGGATGTAGGAGTTTGCCCTGAAATCGAAGGGTTGACGGTTCAAGCCCCGACTCAGACTTTCAGTGTCGTTGTGTCCTTGGACACTTCACCTGCATTGTCTATTGATGGTGGTCAGAGGGAAGGCGCTATTTAAGTACATGCCATTTACCATTTACCTACAGCAGGGCCTCCTTTAATTCCCCCTAATTCTTTGTTCCTCCTTTAGTATAATAATCTCAGTTCCCCCCACCATCAGTTAGAACTGAAGAAGCCTCTAGAGAGAGGAGGAACGTTTTCTAAAAAACTTCATGTCCACTTGCCTAGATTGAACTTTCCAAGCTTGACCAGGACCTGGATGACTGACAATCTTCACAGATATATAAACACAGGTTTCCTGTCACCTGGGTAATACAAGTCCTGGGGGTTAAAAACCTTTCAGTAGAAAAAGGGCCATTCTAAAGGAACCCAGAAGCACAGATCTATAAACACTTTCTATGCTAATAAAGGAAATGGTAAACTCGCTCCTCAGGTTTATGTGTCTGGGGAATTTCAAACAAAGGAAGTATTTATTTTTATGTAAATCTTCAAAGAAAAGTACAGGGTGTAGTTTTTATTTTTTATTTTTTCTGGTTGGCCCAGAGGATGAGAACTTACCTTGAATCCACTGGCTGCTGCTGGTGATGGTAAAGCGCTCTCCTGGTCTTCGCTGGAAATGGAAAGAGCTCTCTGCCTTCGATGTGGCCTTAATTCCTGGTAAAACACATGAATTAGGGGAATATGATTATCTTTAGTACAGGTATTGTCGTCTTTTAAAAGAACTTTGTTGGGTTTTTATGTATTTATTTGTGTTATTATGCCTAGAAATAGGGGTTAAACAAAGTACTGGGATCAAATGTCAATGGTGTAAGTGGAACTACTCCCGGCTGAAAGCACGCCCCTCCGGCGGAGTTTATTAAAGCAAATGCTTACTGTTCAACTTCTTGTTGCTGGCAGCGCGCAGCTGCTTAAGCCTAGAGTCTAACTGCTTTCCAGCTGAAGGCTACGCTAAAGTAGCAACCAAATCCCTACAGAGATGAGTGTGCTTGCTGGACCGAGTCAGACCACCATTCCTACGATTCAGCAGTTTAAAAAACAAAGCGTTGTGTGTATGACGTCATCCACGTGCGCCGCCTACTGTTCATTCTTCCTGTCGGCTGAACTGCTGCTAGTTTTCCTCCCATGC